TATCACCATGTTTATTCTGTTTCTGGTCCTTCTTGACAAAAGAAGCTTTCAGAGCTTGCTCCACTTCCCTCTCAGAAGTTCTTTCAGTCAGACGCAACTCTTGCGCTTCTAGACTGTTTTGCAACTCTTCTATTCTCATGGTTTCCAGATTTTTAGAAAGTTCAATTGAAACAACAATGTAATCAAACTGAGGAGTAAGTGACTTCAGAATCTTTTCTATGATTACCTGCTCAGAAAGTGTTTCTCCACAAACCTTCATCTCATTAGTGATCAGAATCATTCTGGAGATGTACTCAGAAACTTTCTCACTGTTCTTCATGCTGAGATTTTCATATTGTTTTCGCAGGGACTGAAGCTTTACCTTCTTTATTGACACGTCATCACCATAACATCTGGTCAGTATATCCCATGTCCCTTTCGACTTCGTCGAATCAACAATCTTCTCAAACACATTTTCATCCACACACTGATGGATAAAGAACAGAGCTTTCTGATCTCTCTTCCTCGTAGCTCTTTCTTCTGATTTTTGTTCTTCAGTAGCATCTGCTGCAACTGGAACATAACCTTCAGAAACAAGGTCCGGAACATCCTGAGCACCAAACAACACACGCATTTGTATCTTCCATCTGTTCCAGTTTTTGCCATCAAAAACTGGAAGTTTAGTGTTCAAACTACTGCCTCCATTCATTTTAAACCTTGCACAAAAAAAAAACTCATATCTCAGATTTCTCACTCAGTATTTCCCAAACCCACAGAATCAGTGTGATTCTGTTTCAAATTTTTGTTCAAGATTCAAAAATCAAACACACAGCTCACTATCACTCGTGTTTCCCAGAATTTCAGAACAAACCAAGAGCTCTGATACCAATTTGTTAGTGCAAGGTGATGAAATTGAGGAAGAATACAGAAAAGGAATAAATGCTAAAAGCTGCCACTAATGATTGAAGAAAAATTGATTGTATTAAATGTAAATCTAGTACACCTATTTATACACAAAAATAATAAAGATAAGAATGTCACATAGGGCCTAATGAGAATATCTAACAAATGACAAATACTAAATTACCCTCTAATAGATTAATCGTCATTTGATAGCAATTGTTAAAACAACAATCAGACCCTGATATCATTGTTAGAACAAATTGATATAAAAGATTAAAGATAAATGAAAGTACAAATTAATAGACACTATCAGATCTTATTAACGCAGTTCGATCAATAGTATCTACCTCTGTGACTATAGAATAGCTATAGTTCTCATTATTTTTTATCTCATTAATTTTTATCTCGTGAGTTAATTTTATTACAATATTACAAGTCATACATAATACTTTATATGTTCCTTATTATAAGAGAAAATTTACTTTTTAAATTCATTCAATGATTTATATATATGGTCCATATATGAATCAGATACATTAATTATTGAATGAATCTAAAAAAGTGAGCTTTCTCTTATAATAAATACCAGAGAGAATACTAAAATTCAGTTTATATAAAATTTTAATCTGTAGTTTCCTTCAACAAACAGTTATCTCTACTTATAATTATCTCAACAATTTAAGCTATACCTTCAACAATCCATAATTATCTCAACAATATAAGACATACTCAACAGTAAACCCATTAAATTTATATTTTTCTTAATTTTTGTAAATTAGAACTTTGAAATATATAAAAATAAAAATAAAAACATTTTTTTTCTACACGTGATTAAAATAATAATAGTATACACAATTTTGACTGTTGTTGATAACCTCTTTCTTTCCTTCATTTAGATATTTGAAACACCAAAGGAGCATAGAAAGGCTTTGATCACGTTTTTGTTTTCTCAGTAGTTGACTACCTCATATAGTTCCGAAATTATCAGGTTTGTGTTTGCATTTGCTCAAAGGTCTTAGTATTTGACATACACATCTTTTTTACAAATTTGCATTAGAAATGCATGTCTTAAACAGCATGACACTACCTTCTAATGTGTTATTGATGAACCAACATATTAATATACAAGGGTTACTACCTCCTTAGATTCTTCACCGCATATCATTTTCCATCTGCTATGGACCTTTTCCATGTTTCTATCTAACTTTCCAAGAAAAACATGTGCGATTCTCTACTAACATTACTTCAAATCAGTGGCCAAGTCTTCTCTATAGACATAGAGGTTGTAACAACTAGGAGAAACATTGTCAGTTGAAACGGTGAGATAATAATACTTGAAGAAGAACTGTCTTGCTGTACCTTCTCATAAGGATATCCAATTGATGGCGGTGGTGGTGGAGGAAATGCACCATTTGGTTTGTTAATCCTGTCGCAATTCAAAATGTTGAAAGAGAGTTAGAATCATTTTAGAAAAGACGTCCATTATAACCACCATAGATGAGTTTACGTGTGTTGAAAAACATGGACACGTTTAATCTTACTGAGTGTCTGTGCTTTATAGGTTTTTGTTTGCAAGTATATTTGATACACGCGGCACAATAAATTGAAAGAAAATGGAAAACTCGTGATAATATTCGGCGGAGAAAATAAACATTTACTTGTTGCTGGTAGGACAGAACACAATGTCATATTCATAAGCTTTGCAGGTGAAAGTGCTGCTTCCATCATCAAATGCATAGCTATAAGCTCTTGGACAAGCCTTCTTGAAAATTGTAGAATAATAGGAAGGTTGGCATATTGTTGGATTAGCAAATTGTCCACTGCAGCAATACTGATCTGATCCAAATGCTTCACAGGCACTCTTACAACCAATTACACTACCTTGGTATCCATCACCATCAACTACTTGAAGTTCTTTTGGACAACCTATAAAAAAATTGGGATTTTTTAATCAAAAACGAATATCAGTATGAAGCGCGGACACCAGACATTACACTGACACTAACACATCGACACCAGTAATAATTGAAAAAAATGAATAAATTAAATGTAATCACAAGTGTCAGTGTCATGTTGGTGTCAGTGTCTGACACGGATACAGGCACACATTTTTTCAGAAGTGTCGGTGCTACAGCTGCATAGAGTCAGTCACACAACCATGTTATATAATTAATGACCTTGTTAATTTAGAACCCATACCTCTGTTAAGATCAGTCACACAACCTGTAGAATTACAGGCACTTTTACCATATACACCTCTTGGTATAACAAGCAATGGCAAATTGTAGCCATCAACCATGCTAACATCATAGTAATCTTGTTGATTACCTTGTCCAAGTGTAATCTCAAAGAGTGAAGTAGGTGGAGCTGCACCATTTCCATCACATTCAAGCCTTCCACCGCAATCACCTGTTTGACATTTCCCGATTCCCGTTGCATCAAATGTGCAACCGGTCCTTGCCCATATCCTACCCGACCAACCAGGGACGCTCGTTAGTTTCACAGCTTGATCTGAGTCAAGCTGGAATCCGGTTGTAGGAAGTGGCGGCGTTCCTGCGCCGGCAAGCGTGCCTGGCCATATAGTATAAGGACAATTGTTTGTTATGGTGAATATGCTAGAGAAAGTGCAAGATAACAAAGTGAAAAGAACAAAAAAGAAACTTTGGAGTTTCCAAGGTACAACAACAATTGGCATTATCAATGGTTATAGAAAAGATTGACAATAGAAGAGGTAGAAATAATAGATTTATAATGTTTCTCATATTTGTAATATAAAGTGTTTGTGTGCTATGTATGCTATGATGAATTGTGAGTTTCTTTGGTATTAAAGAAACCAAAACGTTACTTTGCTCTGATGAAATTCTTAGCCGCAAGACTAGCTTTATAGGTTTAGTATTTCTTTTTTATTGTGGATACTTGATAGCCTAACTTAGAAGCAATTCTTTGCCTTTTCTATTATATGGGAAAAATGAAAATCTACAAAATAAGGAAATCTCTATGAAAGAAAATCTATGAAGAATCTAGTAAACAAAAGGGGATTACAAAAGAATCTAGTAAAGAAAAGGGGATTCGAGATTGCAAAAAGATGGCAAGTTGGATTGTCCTATAAAGAAGTGACCTATTATTCCTCATAGATGGAAAAATAATGACTAAGGATATGGAAACTTGTTGTGTATGCATTATATGCATAATATTTCCCCTAAGCCTGTCTTAAGGTTTTTTTCACCATGATTTTTGATTTTGAGAAACTCATATGTGTAGTTTCAGTCCCACAGTGATTTTACACCTTGATTTTCATGTTTTTCAAACACAATTAATATTATTCAAACCACTCCCTTTAACATCTTAGTAGTGAGTTTAAAACATTGACATATACCAACTGTTGAACTTTAATCATGTGAGGTAGTAAAGAATAACTTCTCAATAGAAAAGTTAAATATGACCTTACTTAATTATTATCAATTCTGCCCGTTGGAAGACTAGCCCCCACCTCACAAACTTCTGGAACAAAGCTGGTAGAATTTTGAATTCAATTATTTAGCTTTAACACCCAGCCACATGTAATACTAATTATAAAAGAAAATTGAAACTTCTTGGCACATTTTAATTAAACCTACCTAATTTTATATCATTTTTTGGTAAAGGAAATTGGCATTAAAAGTAAAAGACAAAACATAACATCCACCATTAGGATAGCAGCATTACATGAAAATTAACAGTTCCAAATTTCATTGATTGGAGACTTACAAGAAACAAGGTATGGAATAGAAACATCAAAGTTGGAAAAAAGATTATATTTACAATCTTCTAGCTTCACAAAAATGCCAAGAATGTACCAGAAGCATGAAATTCAGCTGATGCCATGAAAAGGCAATTCAGATTCAGATAAGTTACATTCAATCCTTCAATTCAAAAACAGGCTATTACTTGAAATCTGAGTCGTCTTAAGTTTTTAAAGACCCTGTATAAGTTAATCATGGTTCAATTGTGACAAAATAATTAGGGACTTTAGCCACAAATTAACTGTGATAAATTTGAGGTTATGTACTATAGCCCATCTTGCACACCCTCAAAGACGGTATTGCTTTCAGTCCGTGAACACGTCATGCCGATATTCAATGACAATAGATTTCTTGGTGAAGACAACTCGTTATTTGCTCAACTTCATCTCACATTCTACAAGAAATAGATCATATATAATAAACAAATCAAACACAATGAGGTATGAAATTTCAAAGAGAATTAATATTTACGATTGGCGTTACCTTATAAGCCTTCCATATAGTGTCTTTATCTTGTTTTGACATCATGTAGCATCAAAAACTTAAAAAATAGCCGGTTAACTCTTCACAGCTCCATTCTCCAAACTTCGGCAAAGACAAAGGCACAAGCTAAACTTGCAATGAATGTACCTACATCAAGAAAATGAAATATTTATCAAAATTTTGTTATTATACATAGAGAAAATCTATATATCATAAGAAATCATTCAGTATTGCAACACAAATATTTCGAAGGCACCTTCCTAGCACATATGCTTCAAAACCTGCACAATTTACATTCAACTCACAGCCATTTGTATCAGTCTCAATTCTAACCACACAAAAAAAAAACAGAAATTCAATTAAAACAAGTTTGAATGAAAACTAGTATCATCTCCCTCGAGCCTGTAACAGATGAAAAGTTAGTAAACCAGCCTTCATAAGATTCCGAAAACTTGCATATGAAGAACCCAATAGAACCTGCGCTATCAGCAGGAACAAAACTGATACTTTATTCTGTATACAAGTGCACCACTCTAATAGTAGAATATGGACGCTTCGTGATTACATAGATGAAAATAAGAAACATTGCTAATAATTACATCAACCAGGTCCATATTAAATTAAAGCATCATAAATGCCAGAATACATCCTGTGGTAAGCTATAAGAGTCGGATTCTGGGTAAGTTAGCAGGAAACGGATTTCAATTCAAGTCTTATAACTGTTTACAAACAGCCTGCTCAAATCTCCATTCAACAGTCAAAGCTACTTAAAATACTGCATTACATTATTACTAGAAACATAAAGACGTCCTACGGCGAATGGGGACACATCATGTCCACCAATCGGCGATTCATAATTGTTCAAGTTCAGTTATGGATACTCATCAGTAATAAAGTAAATAAAAAAAAGGACGGAAAAAAACGATAAAGATCTCCTTCAGTTATACGAATCTTGATATCTAGTTTGTATCCATGCCGTCTCCAACTTGGCTGCAGATAGGACTGACAGCAGAGAAAGATCTCTCAAAAGGAGAAGGATGGAATTGTGCATCCCGCCTACGCTTACAGCCAATGTTATTATCAACAGGCGAACTCTCTGCCGCGTCAAGCTTCCTTCGTACGCCTCTCACAGCTTGTTCTTCGGTTGGAGTCAGGGGGAAAATCTGACGACTTGCTAGGCAAAGGGAGCTATGGTTATCATACAGAATTCTCTGGTTACAGTTTTTATCACAGATGTGTGTCAGCCCTGTGAGCCTGCAGCGAAACATGTTTCCGCAAACGCGTTCGTTCTGGCATTTCCAGTCGCATTTGTGAACAGAACTCGGACCATCATGGCCCAAAATACTTGACAGATAAATAACATTTGAAGGAGCTGCAACCATAGAATTTCCATATACCTCCATTTCTTCAATCCGATTAGAAACTTCTAAGATTTCAATCTAAATTCACTCCAACTTTTCGGCCTTCCCTGAATCGTCTGCAGGGCCCACCACAACAACACAGAATTCAGTCAAACTCAACAGAAACTCATCTGCTTGTGTCTAATTACTTAACTCATACACTAATTCCACTTTAATTTCCTTCCAACAATAAACTAATTACATACTTATCTAAACCTAATTATTCCATTTAAAAATTGATTATGTATTAAACTTACAAATAAAACTGCTTCCATAAATTTAGATCCCAATCCATTGATATAAAAACAGATGAAAAAGAGAAAACCTAACCCATAATAAACAATATTTTATCAAAGGAGAGAAATCCAAATGGATTCTCAACAATATCTAACCACAAAGGACATATAAAATATCGGCATATTTTTATCACAATCATGTCTCTCTCATGCTAATAAAACAAACCTTACTTTATCATGAACAAACAAATATCCACTAGATCTAAACCACTGCAAAATTATGATTAACAACAAAACAACATAATTAACACAAATTATAAAAATAATTAATTGTTTTCAATAAATTGTAAAAAAAATACATCAAAAAAAATTTTTTTTTTAAAATGTATTCAGAAAAATCATGAAAATAAAAATAGAATTGTACATAACAAATTAATCAAAAGAAGAAAATGAACTCACATGCTTTTGAACAAAGTCAAGCTTCAAAGTCTTCTTCCACAATACACCTACAAAAATGAGAGAGAAAACACCTAACAAATAAACAGAAATTAACAAGAAAAGGAAGGGAAAAAAATTCTTAACACTCGCTCTTTCTCTCTCTTCTCTCTCTATCTCTCTCTCTCTCCACCTAAACGGAACTAACAAAATGGAAATTAGCAAGGAAGGAAGAAGAATGGGACCGAGTATTTATAGAAAGTAATCCACTTACGGACACTGTGGACTTGTGGGTGGGACATGTACTAATATAGGACAAAACCAAATGCGTGTTAAATTTCGGGTAAATTTGATCCAAATGAGGAATGTGTTGAAATCGGGTCGGGTTGTGTAAGGTGTCAGCGTTTCCATTAAGTTTGGATTAACTATCGGATCCAACTCCAACGTTCTTTCTCAACCTGTCGCTTTCTTATTTCTTTTTATATTAAATATTAATATAAAGTTTCATTTTAATTTAAACAAAAAGATTTAAAAGAGATAAACTGATAATGTAAAAAGTGATTTCCTTTAAGTCACGTCTTAAGACTATACCATTAAATTAATGTATAATGGTGATAAGTAATTCTCATAATTTATATTAATATTAAATTATTCAGAATTTAAAATAAAAAATGTAAAATTTAAATTCATCAGTCTCAAATTCAAGTCTCTTCGAATTAAATGGTAATCACTTTACTCTAAATATGAAAAGTAATTTAAGAGAAGGTGAATGAATTTGATTAATCAGTATTAGTGATTTTTTCTCTATTATGAATGTTAAGTAATGTTGTTCTTATTTTTTTTGAACTGTTATAAATGTTAAAGCGCTGAAAATAAATGCAGAAAAATAAAGAATACCAAGATATATTCGGGTTCCTTTTTCTAAACAAAGGGTATTTCAGTCCCCTCGGATCCTACGAGAGATTTCACTATGTCAGACATGTTATAATCGATCCACTTGACTCTATTAACTATCTAACACATTTCAGCGCTTTAACATTCGTAACAGATCCGAAAAATAAGTACAACATTGTTAACATTCATAATCAAGAAAAAATCACTAATGTCGGTTAATCAAATTCATTCAACCTCTCTCTTAGATTATTTTTCAAATTTATAGTAAAGTAACTACTATTTAATTTGAAGGGACTTGGGTTTAAGATTTTATGGGTACAAATTTTATATTTTTTGTTTTAAATTCAAAATTGTTTAATATTACTATAAATTATGCAAATTATTTTTCACTAATGTACATTGGCAATAGTAAAGGCATGAGATGTTGCATAAAGGTTTTGGGTTCGATTCCTTTTCAGAAAAGTAGAAGAAAAACCGATTTGAAAATAAATATTAATCGGGTCCTTTTTTGTGGAGGACTAATTTGAGTTATGTAATTTTTATAAGGGACAAAAATTAATCTATTTTTAAAAAATAATTGTTTGATTTAGGTGAATTCATGATCGCAATTAATTGATCGTGTAAAAAAATTTTATACTCTTAATACATCACTCATTTTCTCTTAAACAAAATACACTTTTGCCAAAAATAATTAATTGTCATTACCATTTTTAGAATGAAATAAAATAAAAAGCTTGCCAAAATAATAATAATAATAATAATAATAATAATAATAATAATAATAATAATAATAATAATAATAATAATAATAATAATAATAATAATAATAATAATAATAATAATAATAATAAAAATAAAAAATACCTAAAATACATTTGTATTAATGATAGTGGTTGAAGGTAGTTGTGATGAAATAGTTAAGTAAAGTATTTAATAATATGAAAGTATTATTAAAGAATTAATAAATGTTTGTTTTAATACTCTAATATTACAAATAATTTAGATATTACTTTCAATAAGGTTGATATAATATTTTATATAAAAAATAAATTATAAATAATCATTTAGACAACCTTTAATATAAATGTTATATTTATGGGTACGTTCGATTTGTAAAATAAAAAGTATTGAATAGAACAATATTAGATATTATAAGATAATTTTTTTTGTGTTACTCTGTGTTTGATGATCAATGTATTTAACAAACAATTTTCTCTATTTTATTTGATATTAGTGAAATACACGTGCTTTTGTACGGGTACGGGTACTGGTATGGTACGCGTATTTGTTTTTAATATATAATTGTTCCTGTAAAGAACAGATTTGATAACCTCCCCAATGCTGATCGGGAGAGGTCGCACTCTTAGCCCCGTTGACAATAATCAAGGAGGACCTTCTATGGAGGATTTGAGAGTTTATGTGTTTCTCTGTAAAGTTATAGATCCCTTTTTCCTTCGTTGAGGTCTCTCTTTTATAGTCCTCTTTGTAAGATAAGGGTAATCAATACCATAAAGTCATATTTATGGTTATTGATTCGACAATTATCACATAGGAGACATGTTCGAACATCCTCCTAAATATCCATAAATGTAATTCTGATGGTCAGTTACTTTGTGGGCTAGCTGTGTTGGCCGACTTGGTTGTACCTTTGTGAACTAGTTGTGTTGGTCGACTTGATTGTACGTTCGTGGGCTAGTTGTGTTGGCCGACTTGGTTGTACATTCGTGGGCTAGTTGTGTTGGCTGGCTTGGTTGTATCTTCGTGGGCTAGTTGTAATGGACAACTTGGTTATACCTTTGTGGGCTAGCTGTGTTGGTCGACTTAGTTATACCTTTGTGGGCTAGCTGTACTAGCCAACTTGGTTGGCTATCCGGGCTAGACACCCTGGATGTGCATAAGTCCCCCAAGCACGAAGCTAGTAAGAGTGAAATGTTTGATTGATTAGGTCTTTTATTCGAGACCAACATCCCGAATAGCAATTTTCCCCGGATGTACATAATCCCCAAAGCGCAAGGTGTGAATGGTCAAAGCTCTTAAGATCATGGACGTCTTGGTAGGTGCTCCGAGCTCTGAATCTCGTATGTACATAGTCCCTCAAGCGTCAGGCCAGTAAGGGTGAGACGCTTAAGCTTGTGTTTTTTACGATATTTTTTAGAATCCTAGTACGCACTCATTTTGAATCGCTTTTGAGATCGTTTTGAAAATCTTGTCAAGCATCGACTGTCGAATCCTGGTTTTACTTAGTTTTTACTTCTGCACGCTTTCACTACAGTGGTGGAGGCCAGTTAAGGTTACCATCTCGAAAATCCTAGTAGGTATCTATTTTTGGCGTTCTTTTAAGAGATTTATCGTTCGCCATGAGTTAAAAATCTTAGTCGGGTGTCCTGTAGGACGAGGCATGATTATTTTATTTGAAAGTGAATAAGTACTTTTTGTGCCTAGTGAAAGTTCTTATTTGAAAATGAAAGTTTTGTCAACTAGTTTCAAACATCTCTGATATCGTCGATATCTCTATTGTTGAAGTTTTTTCATCGATTATGGTCGTGTTACCTTGGAAAATCTTAAGGAATTTGAGTACACGTGATAAATAAAGATATTCTCATAAGTTAGGAGTCATCCTCCAAAATAAGGGTTTTTGGAAAACAAGAGCCAATGTGTGAAAAATTGGTTTTATTAAGTCAGAGTTAATGCTTGGAAGGAGTCACAATGAAACTATCGAAAATTGAACTACGTCGACTAGGAAGAAATAAAAGGATATGTCAGGAGGATGAAATTGGTTTAGTCGACCAAAAGGGTAAAAGACAAAGACAGGGTCGAAAATGGTATTAGTCGACAAAGAAGGGTTTCCTAGACTTAGAGGAAGCGCGATTATTCTTTGCCAGGAAGAACGCGTCGAAGAAAGGCAGAAGCGGTTTATGTTCAAAAGGCTTAGAGGAAACGTGGGCAGTTATCAGCAACCCACGACGTGTTCAAGCGCCAAATTGGTAGAACTTCAAAGTCATGAGCAGTTACTAGCAATCCACGACATGCTTGAGCGCCAAATAGGTGGCAGTATCTAGTGAAGCAGTTACCTCAAGATGTTGATATTAGTCGTAGATTTTATCTAGGTAGTTACTTTGTAAACACTATAAATAGGCAGATTTTGTGTAGTTTGTGTGTGTTCACTTGTACTCTCAAATCACTTGTCAAACTCTCTCATTCCGAGCGTCAGGAAATCAAGAGTGAAGAGTGTTTGATGTACGTGAATCACCATTTTTATTTCAATGCAAATCTTTTATCTTTCAATTATATCTTTTGAGTACTTTATATGTTTTCTCTTTACTGTCGAACAAGATCTATACGTTGTCTTCTATTTCACATAAACAATTTGAAACTATCTGTGGGTCACGAGTCACCTGCCAGTTAGTTTAGTGAGTCTCGTTTTTTATACGAATATCTTCTGTCGGTCATGAGTTACCAGTTAGTCGATTAAATCATAGTGTGGAAAACTATTACACTCGTTTCTCCAGTCAAAGAAAGTCGTTTCCCTTGACTAATATTTCGACGGAATAGGTGTGATAGCAAAAAATCTTAGCACGCGTCTTGAGATCAACTGGCCGATCTCGCAAGTTAACCTCAGTTTAGGACTCTGGGAGGACCAGTGGTTGTTTACCATTTTCTACAGTAAACAATTGGCACACCTGATGGGACCCAGTGCTAAGAATTGGTCTTGAGTATTTATAAGTGAATGCAACTTAGAAATGGGAAGTTAACCAAAGGGTATAATAAACCATTATCTAGGAAGAAAATATCAAGAATGACAAGTCCTGATAATCCAAATGTAGATGAAATACCATCACGAACTTTAATCACTATCGTTCCAGTAGTTTCACAAGTAGCACTTTTTCCTCCAGTAGGGTCGACTGCTGCGGTTTCCGTACAAGTGTCTCAGGCTCCACCGGGAAGCCTAAGACCAGTAATGACTATGACTACCATACCTAACGTGCCTTGTTTTGGTAATGTAGATCCTGCTTATGGAATGTTGTATTCCATGATGCCAGGATATCAGTTGACATCGAATACAGCAGTGACGTCAGATAATGTTTAAAATTTGCTCTCTTTTACAAGGATCTGCGCCAGGGGGAAATAATAGAGGCAAACAAAATAGGATAACGCCTTCTCAACCCTTAGTACTGCCTCTTACTAATACTTCAGTAGTAGTTTTAAGGCAACAAATGGATGATAGTAACCATGAGTTGGTTAATATGTTAACTAACCAGATGGGTAATGTATTTAATCCCATAGTACAAGAGTCGGCTAAGACTAATAGGCAGTCCGCTGAAACAAATCGACAAGTGATTGCCCAATTAATGCATTTGTGTAATTTTCTAGGTGCTCCCCCAGTGCCTATTCGACAGGCACCACTTGTTCGACTAGATTCCCCTGGTCAAATAGACATGGGGGCAATACAGGATGAAATTGTCCATCAGGGACAAATGGTAGTGCCTCCAAGAAATTTGATGGTCGATCCACCTAGGGTATTAGTAGACCGACATCAAGAGACTGATCAAATTATCGACCAAATTCGACAAGAAAACTTAGCCATTAAAAATAATTTAACCACCATTGTCTAAAGAATTATGGCCAGAAATGGTATGAATACCGCACTTTAGAGGCCAACATATTCCTCCCCTTTGTCTGAATATATTTTACAGACTAAAAACCCTATAGGATGGAAAATCCCTAAGTGTTTTACTCCAAAATTTTCCCTCTCATTTATCTCATATTTTTCCACAGGATCTCCTTTGGTTCAAGACTACACAAGGGTTGATCAACTCAAGACACCTCCTTATGCACTGATGACTGAAATTAGGGTTTGAGATTGCACAAGGGTAATTGAACTTTTAATGCCTCATATTACTTTCATGAATCATTATGGACCCTCAAGATTACTCATGTCAAGTTTCAAGTCATAGATCACATTTTTGCTCAGTCAATTGATTAGTTGACCTAAAAAACAACTGTATTGGGGGAAAAATCAACTATGGCCAATTTACAGTCAAACTTCATAATTTTTGGTCCATATCACATTATTAACTCATATATGTCATTTGATCAAGTTTGGACCACAATTCCTCAAGAAATTTGATCAGATCATCAAAAGGGCAAAATGGTCAAAATTAGGGTTTTAACTGGGAAAGGGCAATTTCTGATTTTTGACCTAGCAAATGATTAATTGGTTTGAGACATGATCTCAAGAGTTAAATTGCATAATTTTTACCTAATGGCATGACTCAAAACATCCCTCAAGATCAATTGATTGATAGTTAATTTTCAGTCAACTGATCAAAAGTCAATTGTACACTGAAAAGTCAAACTTTGACTTTCTGGTCAAAATCAAGTGTCAAAGATCACAATTCATCAAAACATGTCAAAATATGAAACTTGTTCATCAAGAAATCAAAAAGTCAAGATTTCATTTTGAAAAGTCAAAGTTTCCAAACTTAGAAATTTTTCTAAGTGTTGAAAACTTCATATTTGTTCACAACTTTGAGCCAATTTTTCACCATGATGCAAGATGATTCAAAAGAAACTTTCAACATGAAAGTTGTAGATCTACATGAGATATAAAACATTTCTTTACACAACTTCTCCTAGAAATTCTTGGGTCTCAAGTTATTAATCCACGAAGTCATGGTCATGAAACTAAAACACTTAGTGAAATTTTGAGCATTTTAGGTCAGGATTTTGACCTAACTTCTGACCCAAGTTTCACATAGTTCCATTTGGATTTTTCAAAATTGATTCAAAGAAGGGTTGTAGAGAATATTACAAGCTTTCCAAAATTTTCAAGAACTCCTTGAGATTATTTGCGAGCAAGGAGAATTGAAGGCCAGAAGTTAGGGTTTCAAGTTGTTTTGCAAGGCAAAATTTGTGATTCAACATGAACCAAATCCATAGCCATGCTGCATAATCTTCACTTTACAGACCTCAAACTTGTTTGTCACTCCTTAATTTAATGTTTACACATTTGATTGATCAATTGTCCAATTGATTCAATCATTGTCCAAAGCATTTTGCCATTTTAGGGAGAAAGTCACCATTTTCATTCTTGTAAAGCAAGCTTTATGCACAAAGTCAGCTTCTTGAGCTCCTAACTTGTTCTATTTAAGTACACTCTATGATACGGTGGGATAAATGATTTGGGTTTTTTGTGTTTGATCGCAAATGTTGCGGTTAGCAAGAGTCACCACCGACTTTTCTTTTATCCAAAAGGAAAGGTAAAAAAGCACAGGAAAGACCTTTGAGATTATTTCTTGAGTTTGGGGGGTAGATTATGAAAAGGGAAGGTATTAGCACCCTTTTCATCCATGGTTTTCTATGGGATCTTAGTTACTTGCTAGATCACTTGCTTTTTGTTTGAAATTGTGCTTTGTGTGGTTTTTGAAAGTATTTTGTAAAGAGGCCATTGTTTAGGCAATCTTTGTAATGATTCTTGTTTGTAAGAATGTATACAAAGATGTTTGATCTTTTGAAAATGTTTTCAAGTTTGTAAGATGTTTGAAAGTGTGTGTGTGTTTGTTTTGAAAATAGCAAGGATGTTGGTCTTTAAATGGAGCAAGTAATTAGGAGCAATCTACCTACTCAAATGTCTTTCTTGTTCATTTTCTCTTCCTTTGACATTGTTGTCTTAACATTAATTTGGTAAGCAACCCTATCTTTGGATGCAAACGGGACGGGCGTAGGTCATCGTATAACCATGATTAGTAATATTGCAAGGTATCTTAGCATTCTTTTTTTTAGGGACTAAGATCATTTGTGAGGCAACTTAGATAGCGTCGTCGAGAGACTATGATCTTGTATTTGCTTGTTTTTGCTAAGACACCTAACATGCGTAATATGGTTATTTTGTATAAGGCAATCAAGTGGGATAACCCTAGGGGTGCTTGTGTGCAAGTGTATCATTTTCATGCTTGATTTTGTCTTGAATTAGGGTTTTCTAATTGATTGATTTTAG